ACACACACACACACACACACACACACACACACACACACACACACACACACACACACACACACACACACACACAGAGATACATGAATTTGTATGTCAGTCTCTCTATAACCTTTTAAACAGTTACTTTCAGATCACTTTGCACTTTTTTTTGGTCTCTCAAGTGTGTCACCCTTTATTTCGTCCCTCTGTTCATCTTTTTCCATTTTTTTCTCCATTCAGTGATCTGTAAGAGTAATTTGTAGCTAACACCTGTCGCAGTGGGACATTCATGTCTTTTTTTTCCCTTTATTTTATTTATTTATTTTTTTTTCTGATTTGACTTGCAACTTTCTTACATTTTGTTTTAATGGAATGCGTGAACATAAACCAAGCCAGGGCAATATTTAATTTGCTGCATTTCTTAGTTAAATTGCATCAGAAACAGAGTGGGGAAAAATACATTTAAAATGCATGTTTATTTGAACTGATTATTAAGATGTGGACACATTTTCTGCAAATTAACTTCCACAGCAGATTTGTGAAAACATATTTAATTCTGCCCATTAGCTTAATATAGCAATATAGCAGCAATGATTTTCAGGTGCAGTCAGATTAGCATCTGCTGAACCAATACCGCTCACTGCTTTTTTTGGCATCAGCACTAAGGCGGGTTTGTTCTTTTCCTATGTTGAAAGCAAGGGTGAAGGGTTTATGGGCTCCTCTGTTTCATGTACAGACATCACATTCCTGTAGAGATAGAATAACACGGCCCAGAATTCACACCCCACCAGCAGGTCAGAATGATGGACAGTAGCCATTAGGGCCTCGCGGATCCGTGCATGGGAAAACTATTTCTACTTTGGAAATGTTGACCATATAAAAAAGGGCTTATGCGGTCACCACTAAAACACAGATGGAGAGAAAAAAAAGTTTTTGTCATAAAATGATGAAGTAAGTTTGTACATTTAGGATACTTTTTCATAAGTTGTACATGATTTATCAAGACTGTTTTATGGTTTTTGGTTGTAATGCATTTTATATAAGTTGCATCATTCTACACTTACGTCTTTGGAGTGCAGGCAGTATTTTCCAAGATATGTTTTGATCAGCAAGTTAAAAGCAGACAATGAATGGTTATCGTTAAAGAGAATGTAAACTAAGATGTTTCATATTTGGCTACGTCACACAAAGATCATAACACAATGATTTCCCTGTAGCAGCAGAACAGACACAAACCTCTGAATAAGACGAGCTGTTAAACTCATCTCCTGTTTGTCTTACCTGTCTGTCTCAGGTGTGGGCTACACTGTGATCATCATAGCTCTTTATGTTGGCTTTTACTACAACGTCATCATTGCCTGGTCCCTCCACTACTTGTTCTCCTCCATGACTCGTCAGCTCCCCTGGCTCTCATGTAACAACACCTGGAACAGTCTAAACTGCACCGACCCCAGCTCAATCAAGTCGTCCGTCCTCGGCGATGTCACATCATACGCCAGGTACAAGATCACCCCAGCAGCAGAGTACTACGAGTAAGTGCAATCTGAAATTGATTGTAAATATTTGTCAGATGGTAATGAGTAATACAGTGAACACCTGCAAAGTTGTGTTTCACAGTCCATTTTTTTGTGGAACCTAACTAGTTTGTTGAATTCCCCATATTGTCAAGGAAATTGGAAATGTAGCACAGTAGGGAAAGCTTTTGTTTTTTGTCTTGTTCTTTTACCTGATTTTTCAAGCTAAATAATATATATAATATTTAATATATACATAAAATAACACATTTTGTAACATAAATATTACATTTTAGTATGTGACGCTAGGCCTGTCACGATAGTCAATAAATCAATTGATTTCACGATAAAAATTTTTGAGGTTGATAAAAAAAATGAGGACGATAAGTTTCATTTTCCTGCTTGTTGGTTTACTTCCTCTCTCTCCCTCTCTGTGCTCTGCTACACAGGAGCTCAGCTGACTCCTCCCCTCCTGTTTTCTTAGTGTCGGGAGGAGTGACCTCTCGCTTTAGCATGAGAGCTCGTAGCAATAACAAACTAAAGAAACGTTTCAAAGCAGAATGCGGCTGCTGCAGTGTCGGAGCACTAGAGCCTGAATTTCGCTGCGGGGAGACATACACAGAGAGAAAGAGAGAGAGAGAGAGAGAGAGAGAGAGAGAGAGAGAGAGAGAGAGAGAGAGAGAGA